TTTCTTAATTTCGTTTTTATTAATGCTAAATCAAAAAATTTGCGCTCAGCGGCTCTGCATCATTTACCAATGCAGGAAATTGGTCGAGTAGCGGCAAAATTGATACATCAGTATCAGAAAGAACTTCACGTCGTGAAATAATTTGAAAATGTTTAATATCTTTTCGATTGAAATCGAATATTATTTTCATGTGCTAAATGCTATGATTTAAGTTTTGCTAACTTGAAATTAGCTAGAAACCGCGATATTTTTTGTCGCTTGCTTTGACAGATAATTAGGGATGCCATATTTGAAGATCAGTAGCAAGGCGAGTTCACACTTTCAGCAGGTGTTGCCAATGGGCCCCATGCTGAATATCATCATCGTCATCGTCATCGTCATCGTCCACGATCGTCAGCGCATCAGTAACATGGCTGACAATGGCACTTTTAGTGACGATGACGATATTCTACAAAGGACGGAATATTCATCAATTATTTAAATAGAAAAAATTGAAAACGCGAAACTAAGTATAACCTAACCAAAGGCTTGTGACCATTTTAAAAAAATTGGAGCAATGAACCAAACGCTGCAAAAGTTTGCGTGCCAAGCATGTGAACAGTTACCTTGTTTATATGGCATCAAACGCGGCATCGAATTAACTCGTGTCAGCGTAGCTCGCTTGAAATGCAAGTGTTTATATGCAACACAAGAAATGAGTCGATCGAACACACTTTCAAACCGAGTTTATCCCGATGCAACCCTGTTAATACATGTGTCAATTCATTGTCAAAACATTGAAAAATAATAATTAAAGACTCAAACAGCCATGTAAAAATTATCTTAGCTATTAATTTTATAATAAAGCTTAGCATAAATGTAATTTCAAGAATTATTTAAATGCTTTACCTTATATAGAGTTGCATTAAACAACCGTGTGGACAAATTGCGTGTTTATATGCACTCTTGTATAAATTCGTCTTGGGAAAAGCATAACATCGCGCTCACGTATCGTTATCCCACATTTACACAGGCAAATGTTTATTGCCGCACAGCTATTTCTGTATGAGGGCATTTTGATGTCGTGATAGATCGAAATAAACATTTTTGGTAAATCTCAATTTGAGATTTATTTGGGAGTCAGTCATTTTCTCAAATCTCAATCGTTAATTCTCAAATGCATCTCAAATAACCGTTGATAGCGTTCTCAAACTAAAAGGTACACATTTAATTAGTAATTATCCTTTATTTTCAAATTGATAATTGTTGAATTCTCAATGATGAAAATCAAATTGAGAAATACGATTTTCTCAAACGTTTGAAATTTTTTATTCCAGTATTTGTTGGGACGTACATAAGCATTTGCAACGTGACGCCCCAGACAACATTCTCTCTATTTTATGGCTTCGAAATTTCGAAACCCTAAATAACTTACTGAATCAGTTCCAATAGGAAACAGCTTCACTTATGATTTAATATTGAAGTTTCTACGGTGTTGCTACCAACATGCTTTCGTTCAATTGAAAATGTGGCTGTCAAAGTACCAAACTGACACTACATTGCCGGCAATGAGCAATTTGCTGATATAAACTTTTGCCTGTGGAAATGTGGGGTTAGCATTTGGTGTGAAAACATCAAATCAAAACTACACAAGGTGCACGCGTTGGCCAGAACTGCTCTACAGCTTCACAACATAGACGCTCTCTTACTGAATTTCAATGCGTGTGTAATTTAATGCCAACACTCAAGGATAAGTCGGTCGAACAAGCAGCATAGAAATTAAAGAAGAAACAAAAAAATCAAATAAAAGCGATAATACACGTACGTAGTCCCCGCTTTATTATTTACCATTGTCTGAACATTAGGATGCCGCAATAAAAAAAGTTAATGTTTCTCTAAACAAATTATAAAATTTGCTCGTTTCACGGTTCTAACCAAAAAATATTCTGTCTAAAATCGGTGTCGTTCGTGGAGAAGAAAAAAAGTTTAACGGATTTGCATCAAAAAAAATAAATAAACACCAACATATCGACCCCTTAGCGCGAAACTATCGTATGTACGTGGCAAAAACCAAATTTTACAGGAGAGCGTTGTTTCTACATTTCAAAATTTTTAATATAAAAAATATTTTTATTTGGCATAAACGATAATTTCGCCCACACCAAAAAAAAAAAATACATTGAAACTTGCGGTAAAATACACAGTAAATTTTTGCCGTAATTCATTAGAACGTGACAAGGAAGAATATTTTTATGACACAAAAATCCGCCGAAACTAAGCTTTTGAGAAGATTATAAACAACTTTTCTTCTTTTACACATATGGCGACCGACCCGCTTTAATGTACATACATGCATACAAGCATTTGTAGTCGGGCAGATAAATCCGGTCTATGCACGCCTCACTGTGGGACCATGAGACGTTGTATCACGTCGTGCAAGCCGGTAAACTAATACGCTTACTTGCGCTTACAGAAATGCGTGTGTGTGTGTGTGTGTGTATGATAAAATCGACAGCATTAAGGCGTTACTGTGGGCTGGAGTCGGAAAGGGAAGTTGAACGTGGAAGGACGGTGCTTGAGAATTTTACATTGTTTCTACATCAGCTCGGTTACAAGTGTTTTTCTCCTATGCACACATGTCTGCATACATAATCTATGTATGTGCATACATCGCTGCACGTTTATTGTCAACACAACAATTTGAAGCCTGGCTTAATTAAAAACCATGAAATTTAACTGTGAATCTTAACAAACGCCTGTGCTTCCGAATGCCTTCGCGGAGCCAACAATAAGCACCTATCCAGCTTTACATTTGCAAATAATGCAAAGAATATTTTATTTTTCCAAAATACCGCGACTTATGTCGTTCTTATACGTAAAAGGTAATTTTGCGACTTACTGATGGGATATTTAGATTTAAGCATCTATTAGGAAGATCCAAGCCATACTGTATTTTCACTTTGCTTTTCATAGAATCATTAGACATTTGCCAATTTTTTCATCTGACCAAAAGAGGAGACTATGTACATGTACTATCTCTTTGGCATTTTATGGAGCAATTAGGTTTCGAATAAACTTGAATGACTTGCCCGCTGAAATTAACGATTAAATGCGGATGCACAAGGGGTTTCCCATTAGACAACTGCGGTTACGGTCTTCCCACCAGCTGGCTATTCCAGTTTTACCCAAGTTATTTCTGTAAAGTTTTGCTACGCTATGCCTTATTATGTGAACAAACTTGCGCTGAGTTAGTATGCCAGTCTTAAGTCCAGGATTTATGCTCGGATGGAACGATAATTTTCTCTCGACACATCTGTTTCGGAATAAAGCTTCCCAATGGCTTGGGGAATGATCTTATTGAAAACCAATCCACCAGCGGTCATCATTCTAATAGTAGAAAACCATTTAGGACAGAACAGCCTGGAGGTGGAAGTGCGCCGTCGGAAGCTCTGGCAATTAGACGCCAGTTATGCTAGCTTGTCAACGACTTGCAATCAATGACGAGACTGCGTTCGATCATTGTCGTAACAACACTTTTCGGGGTCTCAACGATAAAAGATTTCTTTCGGCTCTAATTTAGTACGAAGACAATTCCTGTTGTACTTTTAGTGAGGTTTAAATATCTGGATATCCCCGATGATTTGATTAAAGATTCTTGAAGCTGGTGACAAAATTATCTGCTAACTGCCGACTCGCTGCAAATCGCAATAAAACGGAACTCGTGCTATTCACAAGGAAGTATAAGATGCCCGACTGAGGCGTTTGCCTGGCGCTCTCTGATAGAGTCAAGTACTGGGGCATGATTCCAAATGGGAAAGAGTGAAGAAGGCATGGGTGGCTATTTACTGCTGCAGGAAGGTAACAGCTAAAAGACTACACCTCCCTCCTAGGGTTAGTTCTTGGCTCTATGAAGCTATGGCTACACTCATAATGTTCTTTACAGTTCTCAACAGGTTGAAGCTACTAGAGGAGACGACACTAGTGAGAAAGATGCAGCGGAGCGATCCCGCTGTTCTCATTGGACTCACTGGGAAACTGTTGCACTTAACGTCTTGTTTAACATAGGCACCATTGACATCATAGGTAAGGATGCTACAGCAAGGACAGCGGTCAGACTTAGATGGTAAGTAGAAGTTGGAAGCCAGCGCCGGTGAACATTTGCATGAATAGGTCTAAGCTTTACGGAAGTGTTGATGAAGGATTTCTTTGCAAGGAGGCTTTAAGATTACATTAGTGTTTTCCTGACATGTGTAGCCGCCATTAAAGAATAAGTCGATGGGCGCCGTCGGAAAGAGAGGAAATATTTACGCTGATGGCACAGTGGCCATCAGGACTCAGGGTTTGCTCATGATGCGCTCTAAGCTAGTAGGAGAGTGGCTAACCTCCCTTTCAGTTGCGTTTGGTCTTTTTCTAGTCAGACTTATATGTATAGCGATGGCATCCTGGAGTCGACCACGCTGATCAAAAAGAGATCAGGAGTACGTTTGACTACTTGCGAACTACTCTTGGGCAGATGGGTCTTGTGTTAGCTTATAAGCTTTTATATTACTGGTGCAGGTTCGCCTTGTCAGGTCTAGCAGTAAATGAGGATAAGACACCTCCTAGCAGCTCATAAAGATTCGTCGCGTACTTTGAAGCAGTGAAAGACTTTGCCTACCTAGGAACCAGTAAAACCACCACCAATGTCTACTGGTACCGAAGAAGATGGATTGATGAACTGTAAGAGCTGGTTTTCAACATAATTTGGCGACAATATTGCACCCGGCCACAATCGACGAACGATTTTAGGGCCAGATATGTAGAAAAACGATTGGTATACATAGGTGCCCTGAAAATAACAATGTTGAACTTCCTCAAGCTAACATTAAGCCCGATGTGCTAACACCAGCTAGGTGTCGGCTAAGAAAGGCCTTAGAACATATCTTAAAACTCTCAATAACATATCCCCAATCGCCAAAGGCGCTGGCTTAAACTCAATTCATTTTCGTCTACTAAATATTAGTGATATCTTTTTAGCTTACCTGGTTTACCATTGGGACTATACGGATCGTAGCTGCCTGCTGACATCGGCGATGCGTAGCCATTCGACATATTCGCGCTGTAACTGTGGTTCTGCGAGCCCGGCGATGGGCTTAACGGTGGTGCTGAACTGGGCACACTACCCGGACTAGAGGTGGAAATCCATTCCTCGTTGCTTGGAGGACTGAAAGTATTAAAGTCATAAATGAAATGAGAAGCGAGCGAAATTTATAGTTTCAATTGAAATAAATTTAAAATTGCCAACAAACCAAAGAGCTGCGCGTAAAAAAGTGTAGCGTAGGTCAAGGTCAACGCTGGTAAAATGAAAATATTGAACTCACCATTCCAAACGTGCGCGCTTGGGCACAAAAACTAAATGTCCATTGGCTGTGGAGCCACTGCTACTACCTGCTGCTGCCGCCGCAGACGATGAAGACGGCGTTGCGCCATGACTGCCGCCAGTGGTGATAACCAAAGTTCCACCCGCGCCACCGCTGGAGGTAGAAGCTGTTCCGTCTGCGCCACCAGCAACAACCAGATTTATGGTATTTGCACTGCTTAACGGACTCACAGCTATTGTTGTTGCGGTGGCATGACTGACAGCGCTCACCGCAGAAGACTTCTTGGCAGCAACGGAAATGGAAGTACCGCTGGAGGATGCCGCCGCTGACGGCAGTGTGTTGACAGTGAGTGCTAAAACATTGTTGTTGCTGTTGTTCGAGTTTGTATTCGAGTTCGGGCTGGGATTGCCGTGATTTTTATTGCTATTGTTGTTGCTGTTGCTTAGAGTATTATTGCTGATGTGATTAATGCTAGTATTGCTGATTTTACTGTGCGAGCCGCCATTGTTAACTAATGACGTTGACGTAGTTGCTGCCGGTGCCGCAGCCGCAGCCGCAGCTGCCGAAGTTGTCAGCGAAATGAATTCATGCAGCGGCTCCGCTTTAATGGCAGTCGAAATTATTTTTATTTTCTCCTCCACCGATGCGGCCATCACATTCGTTATGATGGTGGAGGGCGTCTCAACACCAACACCACCAGCACCACCACCACCGATTGCAGCCGAGCCAAGGCTAAGGCTGGGGCTGGGGCTGTTGTTGTTGGCGTGCAGACGATGGTGCGCATGTGCTTGCCGCGGTTGATGGATGAGCGCACGTTGCTGATGGCCGCCATTCAGATCTAGCGCGCTGCCGACGTCACCACTGGCAATGGCAGCGACGCTAAGCAAATGCGTAGCAGCGATTGTAGCTGGCGGTTGATTGATGCCGGCCGCGGCAGCTGCTGCGGCAGCCGCCAATTGTTGCTGCAACAAAATGTGGCTGGGTATGACTGTTGTTGTTGTTGTTGTGGAGGTGGCAGCATTCGTGGCCGACGACTGCGTTGAGGATTTGGCAGACGAAGACAACGACGATCCTGATGAAGAGGATGACTGCTGCTGAGATTGCTGTTGTTGTACATTTAAGCGATACATTGCGGGTTGCTGGGTCAAGCAACTATTCGACTAAAAAAGAATTCGTTGACGGGTGACAAAGGATTTCTTTTTTGTGTAAGATTGTATGCTGATATTTCAGAGCCCGTCAGCGTATGGATTTCACACATGTGTGGTTTTTGTTTTTCGTTTTGTTGTTGCGCTTTTTGTTGTGTTTGCAATCGAGTTGGCATGCGAAACTCGAATCTGGCGCGACATTTTTCCCTTGCATCATTTACATTTCTGTTGTAGTCAATACAAAAGCGCAATACAAGAGTTTTGGGAAGATTTATTTGGGTACCATCGATTGGTCACCTATGCACTCACGCCATTCGGGATTGACCTAGTTAAACGGGCAATTGGATTTTTCGGCCACACATTCAACTGCAAAGAGAAAGAAAATTGGTATGCAATAAATAAAATGTAATTTCTCGGTATTTTCAAGTACATGGTAAAAACACTTATGTACATATGTAAATCTAATGGCGTTTTATTTAACAAAATCGGCCATGTTTGATGTGTTTGGCCCAGCTAGGAATGTTAAGTAAACCGTATGATTGTCGGAAAAATTAAGACAATAAATATGTAAATTGTTGGAAATCATTTTGCTTATTTAACCAAGCTTAAACGGAAAATACCTTTTACTATTTGACTCAAGAATAATTTTAGGTCGCTGATTCCACAGTTAACAGAAATTAAATCAGTATTCAAAAAGCTTACGCGCCCGGCACACTTGCGATTGGAGGGAACACTTCCCAGCGCATTTGAAGTAGAACTCAGAACAATGGACGTATAAGGCCGATACCCAAGTCCCTCCACTCGATTAAAGCGAGGGGAGAACGAGAGAACAAAACACTCTGAGAGGACGGTATACCCGCCTTTTTTTGATTTTGCCCGCAGTATCGTGCGAGAAATAATTCATCGAAGATGGAAATAGTTATTTATTTTAGAAGTTTAAAAGCGAAGTATTTTGTGGAATGAAAGCCATTTGCGGAAAACAAATGGAAGGAAAAATTTTGGGATTCCAAATAAGTAAACAATAGCTCTGTTCCAATACTTTTCGTGTAAAATCCTGTAAAAATGTCAAACAGCAAAATTACTCACTGAAGTGAGAGTAAAAAGTGAGCAACATTCAAAAAGTACCGGAACAAAAAAGCATTTTTCCTGTAAAAACGTCAAATAGCTTGTTGCTTGACACTTTTCATGACTTTACCAATGAGCTAATGTTTAATTGTTATATATTTTATTTGAGTATTGTGAACAATGTTCAACTTTTAAAGTTTATTTTTTGAAAAATAACGCAAAAAATGTTACATTTATTTTCTGATTCACCGGGTGGGATATTTTTCCTCTTGGAAGTCTTTAAAACGTTCATCGGATTTTTCAAAGTTAATTTTGTTATGGTTTTATTTGCATTCTTAGTCTTAAAAAAAATGTTTTATAATAAAAAATATTATTTGACGAAAACGAAGCCACTTCCCACCGAATAACAAGTTTATTGTAGCCACCCGAATTAACGAATAATCGTGTTGTAGGTAATTGGACACTATCCGCACTCCACGCAAATAATTGCGGTGTGTACGGGCAACGCACGGCACCCAAAAACGTGCCCGTGTCTGCGCTGGACACGGCGTATTAGTGTGGATTCTCATAAGGCAGTGCCCGGTGAGAAATCCCGTTACATGTCGGAACAGCGGTCGCTACAAGCGGAGGAGAGGATGACATCTACTTTAACTTAGGCCACATATGTATAGCTATCCAGCACATGGGCTCCGCAGACCATCTTGTATTTGCCCGTTCGATAAAGTTATTCTCCAGCCTGGGTGGCAGGCAGTAAGGTTTCTTTCCTTGCTAGTCTTTATGGCTTTGTAACCATCCAACATGAGTGACATAAGTCCTGGCCAGCTGATTTAGAGTAAGCCTACATTCCATGAAAATCTTCGATGTAGATTTGTCACATTTACCAGGGTATCAGAAAAGATAGCTACTGCATACAATTAAAATTAAAATCGATCAATCATCGTACAGCTTGTTGATTGCTGTTAGATCGGCTGTATAAACGCTGTAGAGATCTATCAGATCCTGGAGATATCAGTGTAGAAGGCTGCTGAATCGGAGTACGAGATTAGGACTGAATCCTCCACCCATTCACCCCTTGAGGAGATTCTTGTCTGGAAATGATTCCAAGTCCAAGAAGCGGAACTGTGTTGCCCGGGCACCTGGTACTGCTGCAAGATCTTCTAAAATTCTAGGTGTCTGAACCTCTGCTCACTCCACTGGACCAACGCGTTTAATCTACTTAAATAATAGCATTACAACATGCCTGTAGTTTACGATATAAATTCATACGTAGAAAGTTACGCAAGTCTAGGGTTTTAGTCGGCGTTGACAGTAAAGCTCCCGTGATCATCATGCACGCCACCTTTGAACTTTTACTAGCTGGTGTTTTTAATGTAGATTTATCTACATGCGGCTACCAAAACCTAATGCCGCAGAACAAAATGGGACGCATAATCGCCATGTACATACATCCAGTCACAATGTGGGGCGTTAGGCTGATTTATGCGACATATATCAATTCGTAGTTATGTATAGTCCTAAGCTTATTTCGCCGCCACGTGACTTCTGATCCTTTAGATAAGACAGCAAATATTCTCTATATTGAACATAAAGATTTTTTCTATTTATGTACACATAATATGCTAAATAAATAGGTATGTGTACTGTTTATAGCATAATTAGGTCATTGCGTTCATCTGTCAGAAGTCAGTAGACACAGGGTTGCATTAATGCAGTCAGCTAAGCGGTTTGCACACCACCGCTAACGCTTAACTGCAAATACACGTACTGATACCAACCCACCTATGTATCTTTCTACTGCTCATTTACTTATTGGTTTTTATCTTACCCACATCGGTGATGGTCCCCTTCCAACATCTACAGCCCCCTTCGTTACCTCCTGCGATTTTCTTTTTCTACTTCTACGCCTTTTTTCCTTTACGTTCCCCCTCCTTTCTTTATTAATCTCTCTCCACCGCCTCCCTATGTCAACAACCCACAACAACACCAGTTTATGTCGCCATTGCTGCAGCCTCAAGGATTCCAGGTCAACAAATTTTGCCGAGTACACACTTAGGTAGGCCGGAAAATGGCTGCAGCTGTTGTGTGCGGCAACTGAAGTCGAGGCGTTGCTGCACTATAGCGACGCGCCGATAAAACGATTATTATGTTCGTGCACATTCGTTTTATAGTCGGCACATATTGCACTCGTTCAGTAGTTCATCGCTTGTTAATGCAATCATTCCAAAACGCCTAACTCAGCCCATTTTAAGTTTGCGTAAGTAGACTTCGCTTTCAATTGTTTGCCTCGGCAAACTATATCTATGCCATATGCATACATTCATTTCATTTATAAGTTTTGTAAGTATGACTGCATAAAACTATCTATGTACATACTTTCGCAGTTCTCTCGTATGTGTCCTCAAACTTGTCTCTATTATACTATCCCACTCTCATTGCATCGACCATCTCGGCTCTCGGCTTGCTCGCTCAGCCAACATTGCACTCGTTTGTCCTTTTACTCGTTCATGCAATCGTTGCCTTATTTTCGTTATCACTCATCTGGTTACATTTTGCAATACATGTTCGGCAACGCCTTTCAAATACAAGGATTGCATTAACTCTTCCTTTGGCATCGCTTATTTTGGAGAAACTACATATGTATGTATGTACATAACACCGCCTTCCGTTCGTTGGCTATAAAGGGCGTACATATGGGTGCGGCGGAAGTTCGACACCCGGAAATGGCATTGAAATTTCACTTAATTTTTTCCGCAACGATAGCAGTGACCCGAGCGAGTGTTTATCAACTTGAAAGTGTCCAGTGCACTACTTAAGGGAGCAAAATGGATGCGCATAGAAAAGTTGGAAGCAGAGTGCTACGTAGTATATACATATTTGGTTCGCGTATATTGCTGCATTTTTCATGTATAAGAATTCAAATCTCTTCTGCAATCCAAATCCTTCAAAACATTTTTAGTCTACTACGAAATAACATATAGTTGAATTACAGCAACTACCCACTAGGCCACTAGAATGCAAACAAAAGGCAAATATGCTGAGCATAATAGCCGTTGGCATTGCAGCTCCGGCTGAAATCAGGCTCAGCAAAATTCGGTTGCCTAGCATAATAGCGTCTGAATATTCTAAAATTTGTGTTTATAAGCCTCACTTCATCTTTAAAAAGGCTCCAAGCAGCTTTTTCTTCTGAGCGGCAGCAGCAAACTGGTTCACTAATCGTTTTCTGGTGAGATCTTCTCTCCTTAACTCTCAAGTGAAGTTTTCGCTGGCTGCTATGAATTTTTTTCAGGCAGAAGTGGCTGTAATTAAAGAAGCAGTAGAGGGGTTTGACGCCGAAAAGCGAAGCACGAATCTGCTCTGATAGCCACAGGAGTTTCTCTGTCTTCCCTCTGAGTTTACTCAAACTTATAAGGATGAGTAGCAGATTGTTGAGACCTCGCATGGCTGACTATTTGGCGGGAAAGACTATAGTCCTCGAATAATCAGATGTCAAAATAACGCCGGCTTCTGTGTGAAAAATCGGCGTCGATTAATTTCGGCAGCTCCTCCATTCCTATCTCTGACCGGCTAGCCGCGACTGGGAAGATGTGTGACTCTAAGACTTTTAGTCGCTTCGACAGCAGCCTGGAATTTGCAAGGGGATGTGCTGAGTTGATTGGCTCTCGTCTTTATTTTGAAAGCTCTGCAGAGAGAATATGCACCACCGGAAGCAGATATAGTGAATTTGAGACCTTTCAATCATTCACTGTGGCCTTCAGGTCATTTGTATGGAAAATTATTTCTTTAAATAATCATATCTGCCTTCTTAATTCACATTTCCCCAACAACCATTTAGGTTGGGGCACAATGAGAAAACTACTCTAATTCTAATGTGTTTCTCTAAGGTAGAAGGTTAGAAGACGATTAGAAAAACTGTCGAAAATTATAGCATTCTCCACAAAAAGTTCTCTATACTTAGAGAAACATTAGAGAACACCATTTGAATTATAATGTAAAACAAAATGTTTCTCTAGCGTTAGAGACTGTGTTTGCAGGGTTAGAGCCATATCTGGCCATATCATCAACTGTTTCGTCCCCTTCGAAATTTCTGTATCCGGTGATGTTAGCGAAGTCCAATATTTCTTGACACTTCTTGATTCCTCTGGTACATGTAGAATCTTTTGCCTTCGAATCTGCTTGACTATCGACGAAGATAGCCACTTTTTCGCCTGAACTGTGCTCCTAAGGCTATCTTTTTTTATAAAAAAATCCTAAACCTTAATTTTATTTTTCTTTGTTGGAAACAATCTTGGGTATAATAGCTT